TTGTCAGATGTCACAGCCTGGATTACGTCAACCAAATATCAGTGAAAGCAAAGGTAGAATCAATAGCAATTATCAATGATAATAATTATTGTTTGTGTCAATATACTAGTATACATGATGACATGCTAATTTCAACTCCTATATTCATACAGCACTTAGTCAAATGAGTACAGATGACTGCATAGCTGCACTGAAGTTGATTGGTCTTGAAAATCATTACAATCAATTCAGAAAATGCAAGTGGATGGCCCTATGTTAGAGGCCCTTATTCATCCACACTTAGGGCAACAAATTATGCTATCCCTTGGTGTGGAAGAGGAAAGGGAACGGCACATACTCTTTGCTGAAGTGCACAGGTTAAAGGCAAATGGTTACAACAAGTCCCACACCACAAGCACACTGACAGATTAAGGAAATAAACAATCTAGCATATCTCAAAAGATTTAGGTTTTTTTGCTTTACTTGTTATCAGTACTGAAAGATACAGATTTTCAGGAATTCACAAACAAAATAAATGGTGAAAAAAATATTACACTGCGACTACGCCAACCGAGGCCACCAAAACAAATTTTCCACAAATTATCCAATCACGTTTGAGGATTCAAACAATAGAATTTGTTCAAATCAATAGCGTTTCAGGACCAAAATATTTGCTGAGTAGCTTGAAAAACTAATTGGATAAATAGAAGTAAAGTTAGGAAACCTTACCAAAATTCGAATGGAGTCGTTGTATTGATCTGTGTAATCGTTATGGTACTGGGTACTACGGCAAACGTTTGCACTCATTTCAAAATACGATAGAAAAGCCGATAGAATATGAAAATAAAGGACGATGTTCGTTGCCTGCAAACGCTTGCAAATATGCTCTGAAATGTTGAAAACTCTTTACAGTAACACAGCCATCATCAAATATTTCATGTAGCCAATTGTGTATCGTTGCAAAATTTTGAAGAGACGTTAGAATGACCCAATAATAAATGTAATGAACCAATATTCATTGTCTTTTTATTTCGCCATAAACCTTAGTTTGTAATGATCACTAAAAATGCAAGTGAAACAAACACAACGATAATAAAAAAAATGTCTGATATCAGACAAGAAAATTGCGATTAGCGCAACTGTAACAAGTTCATTACAATGTACAGAGCACGTAGAAATCAAGAATTATACATATGCAATCCTCTTTTGTATTGTTCTATTTGATGTGGAAATTCCCAATCTCTCTCTGTTGTCAAGGGCACTTTGTTGTTTAAGAGCGGCCGTCCATAAATATCGAACTAAGGTGTGCAAGATCGAAAAAACAAATTCTTTCAAGCTTTGTCAGAACATAGCTATAGATAAGCTAATTCTAGAAATATAACTCTTAGTTCGCTCAGATTTTTATTTTTGACGAAACACGAGAATTTCATTTTTCAGGCTGACAGGCCGATTTCCCAAGGTCAAACCATGGATTCTTTTGAGCTCGATCACTACTCCTCCTAAAAACTAACCGAAAATCTAAATGCATGTCGTAAAAGTAAACATAATACTTTATCGTTTAGGAGCAGATTGATGTGAAATAACAAATTTTGAATTTTTTACCGAATTTTTAAGTTATGCAAATTTTACCGATTTTCAAGAACTCAAAAATAGCGCAACTTTAGAGGCCAAAATCGCCAACTGGACAGCCTGACTGATCAAAGAAACAATATTCCTGTAAAAGAACGTTGCTTCGACTTTAAATTTCTGCAATAAAATTTTTGGGCTACTCAAAAGAAAATATTTTAGAGCGCCGAACGTGAGTGACCTTGAAGTGAAAATAATTCGTTACTTAGTAAAGATCGTGTCTGATAAGTTCGACAGAACCAAACAAAACTGCTTAATTCCACATCGTATTTCCTTTATTTGAAGTAAATCTATCTTAAATACAATAGAAGAATGTATCATACAAGTTTTGCCGTGATTTACCTAATATAGATGACTTCAACGACCACTTGTGACAGTTACAAAGTTCGCACATCCACATCATCGCTGTATTGTGATTGTTTACTCCTCNACACACGCTCTTATCTAAGAATATAATACAAAACGGCAAAAAGCAACATTTTTATACATTTTTGAATGTCAATAAAAACATTTCTATAAGGAACTGATTTTCAAGGTAAAACTGGAAATATTCAAGGACTTAAGAGCGGCCGTCCATAAATATCGACCTAAGGTGTGCAAGATCGAAAAAACAAATTCTTTCAAACTTTGTCAGAACATAGCTATAGATAAGCTAATTCTAGAAATATAACTCTTAGTTCGCTCAGATTTTTATTTTTGACGAAACACGAGAATTTCATTTTGCGGGCTGACAGGCCGGTTTCCCAAGGTCAAACCATGGATTCTTTTGAGCTCGATCACTACTCCTCCTAAAAACTAACCGAAAATCTAAATGCATGTCGTAAAAGTTAATACTTTATCGTTTAGGAGCAGATTGTTACGAAATAACAAATTTGGAATTTTTTACCGAATTTTTAAGTCATGCAAATTTTACCGATTTTCAAGAACTCAAAAATAGCGCAACTTTAGAGGCCAAAATCGCCAACTGGACAGCCTGACTGATCAAAGAAACAATATTCCTGTAAAAGAACGTTGCTTCGACTTTAAATTTCTGCAATAAAATTTTTGGGCTACTCAAAAGAAAATATTTTAGAGCGCCGAACGTGAGTGACCTTGAAGTGAAAATAATTCGTTACTTAGTAAAGATCGTGTCTGATAAGTTCGACAGAACCAAACAAAACTGCTTAATTCGACATCGTATTTCCTTTATTTGAAGTAAATCTATCTTAAATACAACAGAAGAATGTATCATACAAGTTTTGCCGTGATTTACCTAATATAGATGATTTCAACGACCACTTGTGACAGTTACAAAGTTCGCACATCCACATCATCGCTGTATTGTGATTGTTTACTCCTCTTTAAAATCCTMTTATTCTTGAAATGCATCGATTATATTATTGAAAACATTTTAAAAGAGTAGTTTAGTCCATAGAGGTTTCTTTAGCAAGAGTTTTTTCAAACTATTTCAGAACATAAGCATGTGATGTCAACATTGTCACGGTTGAAGAGAAAACGTGACAACACAGGCATTCCAAGACTTTATGAGCAGCAGATAAATGCTCTCTTTCTTCCAAGCCGTGAAAAGTTTTCGAAAATTCCCGAATCTGAATTTCAAATTCTTGAACTTGGATAGAACTTGAACTTTTTTTGCAGAGAAAATGTATATTTTGTGAAGTAAGATTGCGCGCTACTCATCCGGCTATGCGCTGATACATGTACATTTTAATCCATGTTTTTGTTAATACCAATTGAAATATGTACGGTTGCCCGATCATGTACGCAAAAAATTAAGCGAGCTATTAAGAGAAGTACAAAAAATTAAGAGGTACTGAATATTATACCAAGAGATGCGAAGATATCGCCGATGGTTTTAGCTTCCCCGACTCAACTGCTTAAGTTCAACTGTAAGTACCAGAATTCACAAGCTAGTAAATCTACACAAGTTGCCAAGTTCATGTCAGATGATCACTGCCCCTCCCCCAAATAATTTGGGGGCTCCTGGGTAAAAGTACCGAGGATGCTTGTCGGAAATTTTCAAAAAGACCCCTAAAAGATCCTGGAAGTCTTGAATAATAGACGTGGCTATCTGATTTTTTACCCCTAACAGATTGCACCACTAATATAGTTACATCAGTTCCAATGATTTAATCAAAATAATCAAAACAAAACGAGAGAAAAATCAATATCGATGCTCTCTTTCTCTTCTTTATCGACACCCTAAGAGATTGCAGAAAATGAAAATTTCCAGAAACTCTAAAAGATTTACAATCACCAGTTTTTACCCCTAAAGGATCCACGAGCATCCCTGGTACTCTTAAACCCGGATTCCTCAAACCCCTCCCTTCCCCCCTCCCCCCACCGGGCAATAAACCTGTGGTTCCCATCATCACTGTTGCATATCAGATAGACTAAGACCTGGTCTGGGTTACCCTGGTTCCAGAGGCTTCCCTGTGTCTCTCTTCTTTGTCAAATAATAAGCCTTTTTCCAGTTCAATGCGAGCGACTGCTGTTTTAGTAGACACTTGCGTAGAGGACGAAAGGAAGCACGAAAAAATRTTGACAATGCAATAGCCCTAGAAATTTGAATCTTCTCCGATTCGAGGCTTAGCCTGAGTAAGTTTGAGTAAGACGTTGAACCTTCTGTGAATACAGACTTAGCGCTTTTGTAATGACAACATTTTTTCGTGCTTTCTTTTGTTTTTGGCAAGATCTCAGCACATGAGAGACTGTTGTCAACTAAATCAGCAGTTGTTCGCTTTGAACTGGAAAAAAGGCGTATTCTATTCTTCATGTAAGAACAGACATATTAGGCTGAAAGAAGAGAAGAAACACACAGAGAAACTTCAGGAAACAGGGCAATCTGATCTGGGTATGCTTTGTGCCCGGGGGAGGGGGGACTTCCCTATAAAGCATGGTAGGTATGCTCGACGGACGGACTGAAAAATGACCTTAAAAGGTACGCATAAATTAATTCAAGTATCGATTCCAGACCCCAGGGGTACGAGCATTTTTGACGTCTTCAACAAGANGTCGTTCGTGTTCGTCGCAAGAACATCCGTTGGGCTGGTGAGTAGTTGTGGCCTTTTGGCGGTGTATTTCTGTAGTTGAGTAAGGAACTGTGTATGTCCTTTGACTTCTTCACTATGTCTTTGCTWACTTTAACTGCTGCTTCAGCTCTGCCATTGCCTTTTGAATGGTACGGGGATGAGGTGGTGTGCTGAAAYCCATACTCTCTTGCAAACTCTTTGTATTCATGGCTTATGAWTTGGGRCCCATTGTCGGTGTGGCACATCTTGGGTACTCCATACCTTGCAAAGTGTGTTTTTGTCTTCTCTATTATTGTAGTAGATCGAGTGTTCTCTAGTTTGTCTAGCTCAATCCAGTCAGAAAAATGACAGACTGTCACCAGGTATTTCTCTTGGTTGTKTTCAAATATGTCTTGACTGACTAACTGCCAAGGAAGAGTTGGTATTGGCAGGGACAGCATTGGTTCTTTTTGTGTTGCTGTACCATACTGTGCACAAATGCTGCAGGCGTCGCAGGAGTCTTGAATGGATTTCCTCATTCCTGGCCAGAATAATACTTCTCTTGCCATCCTGATACAGGACTCTGCTCCGTAATGGTTTACATGTATCTTCTGTAGCATTTCCGAATGCATGGATTGTGGAATTAGGACTTTGTCTCCTTTATATATTATTCCTTTCTTTGTCGTTAGCTCATCTCGATATGACCAGAATGGGCGTAGTTCCATTGTAACCGAGTTCTTTTCATTCGGCCAACCATCAAWTATTTGTCTTTGGAGATCTTTTAGTGCCGGATCCTTCTCTGTTTCTTCTTGTAATCTCTTCTCTGTGGCATCATAGAGCCGGTCATTGTTTGAATTGTACTCATTTTCCATTTCAAGTCGAAAGACTTCGAAATCTGTGACCTTGACCTCTACGGGCTTTGGGAGTGTGGCTCTTGATAATGTATCTGCTAGGTACAATGAAGTGCCTTTCTTGTATGTCAGCTTGAATCTGTATCGCTGGAGTTTCATTAGCATTCTTTGTAAGCGTGCAGGTGCTTTGTTGAGAGGTTTCTTCATGATGGTCTCTAAAGGTTGATGATCTGTGTGTACCTCGATGTCAGACTTTCCATGTAGCCATTGGTCAAACTTCTGAAAGCAGTTACATATGGCTAGGCACTCCTTCTCAATTTGKGAGTACCGTTGCTCTGTCGGGCTCAAGCTACATGAAGTGAAGGCTACCGGCTGTAACTTCCCTTCATTGTTAGGTTGTAGGAGAGCTCCCCCAAGGGCTACATCGCTTGCATCTGTTTGAAGAACCACTGGCTTCTGTAAGTCGTAGTACATTAGAACGGGTGCTGTGGAAATGGTCGTCTTTGCTTTGTTGAAAGCTTCCTCTTGTGTCGAGGACCAGTTGTATGGCACGCCTTCGTRTGTCAGTACTCTGAGTGGCTGTATGATCCCGCTTAAGTTTTCGCAGAAGGGCGAGAGATAGTTGATCATGCCGATGAATCTTAGTAAGGCTGCTTTGTTTTCTGGTGTTGGCATTTCTGTTATGGCTTTCACCTTTTCGGGGTCGGCTTGCATCCCTTTATCTGAGATAATATATCCCATAAATTTGACTTCTTTCTGTTTAAATTTGAGTTTASCTGGGTTTAGTTTGATGTTCTTTTGGAGGCAACGTTCCATCAATGCGACAAATCGGCGGTCATGGTCTTCTTTAGCGTTTTCGTAATCTGTTCCTTCTCCATATACTAGGATGTCGTCTGCAACACTTATGATACCATCAAGACCTTCCAGGGCGGCTGATAGTCTAATTTCGAATTCTTCTGGAGCGCTTGAGACTCCAAAGGGAAGTCGGCGCCATCTGTATCTTCCATATGTGGTGTGCATCGTTGTCATGTATGATGATTCCTCGTCGAGTGGTATTTGTAGGAAGCCCTCTTTTGCGTCGACTAACGAGAAACATTTTGCAGAACTCAGCTTGTGTAGTTGTTCATTGAGTGTGGGCATCTGGTGAACTGGTCGAAGTATAACTTTGTTTATCGTTTGGGTTGGATCTATGCACACTCTGAATTTAGTTGGGCTCTCTCTTATCAGCTCGTTTGAGCACCACGGGGTTGGTTCGTCAACTTTGGCCATGATTCCTTTCTCGACATAGCGGTCAAGTGTTTCTTTTTCTTGCTGTCGTTTTGCTACTGCTATTCTATGTACTGGCATTTGTACGGGATGCACAGTTTGATCCATCTGGAAGTGGACTGGGGGGCCTAGGTTGCCCAGACCTTGAAAGTTATCTGCATACTCCTTTAGAATGTCGTCTTTTGTGAGTTCACCCGCCTTTGGAAGCCTGCGGTTTCGTGGAATAGTGATTTTGTGAGATGGGGTGGGCGTCTTGGTGCAGGGTCGAGGTGTCTTATTCTCCATCTGCTTTTGATGATTACACGTCAATGGCTGATTTCCTACGTCTGTTGGTTGACTTGTTGTTGCTCTCTGAACTAAAGTGGATAGGGCAAACACTTCACTGGCTTGTATCTTGATTAGCCCTAGGCTCTCGCTGTCGCTTCCTGATAGAAGGGCTGGTTTTCCTTTCATGAGATCATCAGGTAAGACTTGAAAAGTAAGTGTTGAGAACTTGTTCTCTGTTTCGCAAACAAGCTCTACTTGGCCCACTGGCCGTATTGGACTGCCATTTCCATAAGGATGTAGAACATATGAGGTCTTTGTAACCTTTGCACTTGGTAATGACTGATGAAGTGTGCCTTCGGATATAGTGTTACACGTGGCTGCGGTGTCTATTTGGANTTTAGTTGGGCTCTCTCTTATCAGCTCGTTTGAGCACCACGGGGTTGGTTCGTCAACTTTGGCCATGATTCCTTTCTCGACATAGCGGTCAAGTGTTTCTTTTTCTTGCTGTCGTTTTGCTACTGCTATTCTATGTACTGGCATTTGTACGGGATGCACAGTTTGATCCATCTGGAAGTGGACTGGGGGGCCTAGGTTGCCCAGACCTTGAAAGTTATCTGCATACTCCTTTAGAATGTCGTCTTTTGTGAGTTCACCCGCCTTTGGAAGCCTGCGGTTTCGTGGAATAGTGATTTTGTGAGATGGGGTGGGCGTCTTGGTGCAGGGTCGAGGTGTCTTATTCTCCATCTGCTTTTGATGATTACACGTCAATGGCTGATTTCCTACGTCTGTTGGTTGACTTGTTGTTGCTCTCTGAACTAAAGTGGATAGGGCAAACACTTCACTGGCTTGTATCTTGATTAGCCCTAGGCTCTCGCTGTCGCTTCCTGATAGAAGGGCTGGTTTTCCTTTCATGAGATCATCAGGTAAGACTTGAAAAGTAAGTGTTGAGAACTTGTTCTCTGTTTCGCAAACAAGCTCTACTTGGCCCACTGGCCGTATTGGACTGCCATTTCCATAAGGATGTAGAACATATGAGGTCTTTGTAACCTTTGCACTTGGTAATGACTGATGAAGTGTGCCTTCGGATATAGTGTTACACGTGGCTGCGGTGTCTATTTGGAAGGTGATTTTCTGAAATTCTGCTCCAGCCGTGGACAGTGGCAGTTGTACGAAATATTTCCTTCCAGTTGTTGATGTCGATGTGATGCTGTGCACCTGTACGTCAAGGGAGTAGCATTGGGCTTCGTAGTCATCAGTATCGTAGTCATAATCTGCATAGTGTATCTCATGACCAGGCTGGTTCCAGCGGTTTCCAGATCTTTGTTGTCGTCCCCTCCAATTATATCGTTGGCCACGTGCTCCCCTCTGGCTTCTTTGTCCTCTCGAGATCACCACACCAATGGCATGTTCCTGGCTCTCTTCTGAGGTTCATTTGTCTGTGACTTAGGTGGTGCACATCTTCTTCAATCTTGAGAGACTCTTGCATCATTTTGTTTGCTCTAGTGGCCGATTAAATTGCTTTGCTTCACTTACAAGTCTTCTAGTGCCTTCTCTGTCTGATCTGCTTTACGGTGCGATTTTAATAGCTCAGTTCTCATATTGTTATTACARAGACCAAATATGAATTTGTCTCTGCATAGTTCATTTGTGAGTGCACCATATGCACATAAACTACCTGCCTGTCTGACAGATACTTCCCAGTCTTGCACGGACTGTTGAGGATTTTGGTTGATGTTCCAAAACTGATATCTGCATGTTAGTAGTGAGCTGTCCATTGTACCAGTGTAGTGGGCTCGTAATTTCGCCATCCAAACCCAGGGTTTATTTTTGTCAGCTTCTGGTATTTGTGGCATGATGGTGTACCTTATTACCGATAATGCCTCGTCCGGCATTGCTGAACGAAGTGCCGATATTTCTAATTGTGGTTTTTCGTAGTGTTCCCCCGGTTTCTCTACCGGGTCTTTTGACAAATCGCGATAATCCGCTTGAATACAAAAATCGTTGAATCTAACCTCAAAGTTTCGGAAATTTTCTTGGATGTTTCCCTCAATCTTGAACTCGGGCCTCTTTGGGTGTGCCATCCCACTTCTGACACCAAGTTGTAAGCTTTATGAATGAATAAAAGGACTAGACGACTGAACTACATGTGCTACTTTAATCCAACATGGCGGGCCCTAACATRACACAGGAACCCCAACCGATTATGGGGAATACCACTGACCAACAATCTGATCTTGGTATGCTTTGTGCCCGGGGGAGGGGGGACTTCCCTATAAAGCATGGTAGGTATGCTCGACGGGCGGACTGAAAAATGACCTTAAAAGGTACGCATAAATTAATTCAAGTATCGATTCCCGACCCCAGGGGTACGAGCATTTTTGGCGTCTTCAACAAGAGAAAAGCTCAAGTTTAACAAACTGTGTAAAATCAATGTCGATAGATTGTTGAGGTTAATAAAATCTATTTCTTTATTAAAACTTCTTCATTTTTTTCTCGTTTTTAAAAAAATGGACCAAAAAGGTACGGAGTCAGCTCAGAACCTACGCAAGGGATTTATTTTCGACCCTAAAAGGTCCATCGAGCATACCTACCATGCTTTATAGGGAAGTCCCCCCGCCTCACCCCGGTGAGCTTTGTGGCCTGTGTCCGATCTTGAGCTTGTAATCGAGGTACTTGCAATCGTTTGTTGATAAAGCGTTGATAAACCTGCATTTTTTGCACCCTCTTACTAGCAGACTAGGCCACGCCCATAAGTTGACTTAACTAAATGCTTTCCATTCCGTTATCCTCTGGTTATGTAGCGGATGCAGATGGTTCGTTTCAAGTGAGCAACACTCTACTAGTTAATGGATATAAAGCTCTTATCTTGATTTGTTGCTTGAACCAGTTATAAACAGGTTTTATACCTGGACTGTAGCAATAATTGTTGCGAAATAGGCATTTTAACTTTTGAGTAAGAGGCCCTAATTAAGAGGACCAACTCGGACTTCTCGGTAAAACTATTACACTGCTACAGAGTCTACATCATTGAGATCTACAGCCTATTTACCTTAGTTATAAATATGATGACATGGCACCTGCGATAATATATTTCCTAAGTTTTTTTAAAGGAGGAAAATCTTGGGATGCCTGTGTTGTCACGTTTTCTCTTCAACCGTGACAATGTTGACATCACATGCTTATGTTCTGAAATAGTTTGAAAANNGAATTAAGCAGTTTTGTTTGGTTCTGTCGAACTTATCAGACACGATCTTTACTAAGTAACGAATTATTTTCACTTCAAGGTCACTCACGTTCGGCGCTCTAAAATATTTTCTTTTGAGTAGCCCAAAAATTTTATTGCAGAAATTTAAAGTCGAAGCAACGTTCTTTTACAGGAATATTGTTTCTTTGATCAGTCAGGCTGTCCAGTTGGCGATTTTAGCCTCTAAAGTTGCGCTATTTTTGAGTTCTTGAAAATCGGTAAAATTTGCATAACTTAAAAATTCGGTAAAAAATTCAAAATTTGTTATTTCACATCAATCTGCTCCTAAACGATAAAGTATTATGTTTACTTTTACGACATGCATTTAGATTTTCGGTTAGTTTTTAGGAGGAGTAGTGATCGAGCTCAAAAGAATCCATGGTTTGACCTTGGGAAACCGGCCTGTCAGCCCGAAAAATGAAATTCTCGTGTTTCGTCAAAAATAAAAATCTGAGCGAACTAAGAGTTATATTTCTAGAATWAGSTTRTCTATAGCTATGTTCTGACAAAGTTTGAAAGAATTTGTTTTTTCGATCTTGCACACCTTAGGTCGATATTTATGGACGGCCGCTCTTAAGATTTTCTTCAAAATGGTGAGATCTTTGTCAAGGGCAAAACAGTCGACATAACGGCCTTCATTTTGCCGCCTTAATCTGGGACGCATTGCAGCAAAAAAACTGTTAACTGAACGTTCCTTTGCAAGTTTGAATGAATCGAGTTCTTCGTTAGCTTTCTTTTCCTTTTTTTCTAGCTCTTTTACGAGTTTTTGCAATTCCAGAACCTCATTCTTTGCTTCAGGATGTTTTTCACTCGCCATGCAAACTCGGAAGTCGTTACATGGAGAATTTGAGCATTTCCCTCTGTAGTGACCTGATTGATGACAATTTGTACATAAGTTTCCTTTCCTTCCATTGCTGCGACTGCAGGACTGATCGTACTCATGCTTCACCATGTTAAGCTGACTTTGAGCGCTTGCAACTTGGGCCTTCATCACAGTGAGATTCTCTGTCACCTCAAAACCTTTTCTTTGCAAATAGCCCGCGCTTTTACTTTGTGTTGTTCCCGCGCATTTTGTAAGACAGAAATCAGAATCATCAACGCTCTTTTTGCTTCCCTCGTCGCTCGCACTTGAAGCGAAGCTACCTGAAATGGAAGTGCTGGCTCCAAAGTTTACATGGTTCACTTGTAGAGGTTGATTTTTCGTTGGAAAGAGCTCTTTTGGTTGAAGAGGTTGCTTAAGGACTTCCAACTCTTTCTCGATGATTCGCTTCTCGGCCAACAGTAGTTTATGAGGCGAGTTTATGATAACTTCAAGGTCGGTTTTTTCCAAGTATACCAATGATCTTTTGCTTCTAAACCCCCGGCTTTCAAATAATGGTGCAAGACGTTCCATATCAAGACCATTTGAGATGATAGTCGATGATTACTTAGTTATGTCTGGAAATTTGTGTCAGGCAGACTTCAGACTTTACGGCACGTGACAGTTGCTATGCGTTCTCAGCGAGCTGCAAGCTTGCTAAAGTTATAAATGCGCCCTCACAAGTACATTGTAAACTAAAAAAATGTCTAAAATAGTACTAAAAAAGCTGTTTTGAGAGGCAGATATGCTTGCAGTGAACACGATGTTGATGTTGGTCATATTATGAATGTGTAAAGGAGCTGAACAACGCATTCGACGACAACTCGTTTGCAGTGTGGAACGAAGGCGGCCGCTTGATAGGACGTGCTCCGAAAAAACTTTGCTATTACTTTCAATGTATGTTTGAAAACAAGAAGGATGATATAACAATTTTCTGGTAAGTAAATCGATAAACGTATTGCAGTGACAGGACATATATAATGGATACATTGTTTGATCTTTTCGTTAAACAGAGAATTTAGGTAAAGAAGAAGATAGCCGTTTTCCATGGACAAGAAAGTGGGATAAAGGCAGAGGAGTCATTATGCCATTGCAGATATCTGGTTTATTGCTTTTATAGAGTATATCAGTGTCGTCAGCTGAATCATTAGCATTTATACCCGGCGACATTACATCTTGAAATTGACAAGTAACAAATCAGGTTTATCTATATTGTATCACAACACTGTAGCACTATGAAACATAATCAGTTTTTACAACAAATATCCGCAATGTCTAAAGTAGTTGATCGACTTTTGCTGACTTATTTCTTCACACCCTAAAAATATTGCATATTCTGTGTCCTGCTCTGCTAGGCGTTGATTTCGTTGTAAGTACGACTTGATTTCATTAAAGCACAATTCGTATGTGTTGTATTCTGGTGAATACGGTGGTTGAAAAACTAAACTGACTCCAGAATCGTTCAACATCGCGGTAAGGATCGGCTCAACAAAGTGACCGTGGTGGAAACCGCAGTTATCCATGATAACGGTATCGCCTCTTTCCAACACAGCAGAGCCGTCTGGTTTTGTGATGCTCAGTACTTCTTCAAAATATAACAGTTTCTGTCCGTTCGATGGACCATGCAAGATCTCTACAAAGTCAACGCCATAGGGAGAATGCAGCAAATTAATTGTATATGTTGCATTAGATACATATCGTTGAATTTCAAACGCTGGTTGGCCGCAAGGGGCATTGCCGTATCGTCGGTTCGAGGTCGTTTTTACAACACTACTTTCGTCAAAACAATTAACTGTTGCGGCATTCAAATCGCTCATGATTTTGAGGAATTCGTTTCTTTTTTGAATATTGTCGTCTCTAAGTGACTCTAAAGTAATTTGTTGAATTTTCTTCTTGGTCATTTTTAAATCCTGCCTCATGCATTTAGTGATAGCAGACTTGTGTAAAATTTATTTTTTGGTGTACACGTTCTACAATGTTTTGCTAACACAACTACTCCTTTTTTCCGATGTGGTTCTAATTGTTCTAAGGTTCTRAGTGTACATGTTTCGGGTTCTARATCTGGTTCTCTMTGTTCTACATTCTATCGCACGAGGTGCGCCGRTTTCTATGGTGATGTCAGTTCTATATATGGAAATGTAACGAAATCTTACACTCCCCCTCCTTGCTAGTACGTGGTACTAGCAAATCTAACAAAATTTCTAATGTTTTCTAATGTTCACTGTGAAAGTCGTAATCTTCTCATGAAGTCAGCATCAATTGCTGCTGCGCGTCTTGGTCGCGTTCTTTGTTGAGTACTATCGKKGTTGTCCATTATCTGTGGTAGTTCTGGAGTGGTGTCTAAGGGTCTTTCATCAGTTTCTGGTTCAATATCTTGGACTTCTAATGGATAGAGTTTGTTTACTGGTCGACTAATGGTGGTTGMTCGTCCTGTCTTTGAAACTACGCGTAGGCTTGCGCCACGTATCTTGTCATCTGAGCTCTTTCGAAGCTTCACAACCTTTCCCATTCTCCATTGACCTCTKGGTTTGTCMTTGTCGTGTACAATTACTACATCTCCTTCTTTAATGACGTGAGTTCCACCTCTTTTTCCTGTTAGATCATGTGTTTCTCTTAGCTGTACCAAGTAATCTTCCCTCCATCTTTTCCAACTATGAGAAATGAGACTTCCGAGATGTTGTTGTCGCTTTGTCAAATCTTCAGCACTAATGTTGGTTTCTATATCGTCGGCACATTCATCAGGTAGACTGTCTAATCTTCTCCCACAAATTAGATGAGATGGTGTCAGCGRTGTTTCAAACTCCTCCATGCTAATGTAAGTTAATGGTCGATTGTTAATTGTTTGTTCTATCTCTACCAAGAGTGTGTACAATTCGTCTACAGTCGTCTTGGCGTTCCGCAAGGTTTTCTTCAGACATCGCTTTACTGTTTTGATAAGTCTTTCGTAAAATCCTCCTTGCCATGGTGCCTTGGGTAAAATACTTTTCCATTCGATGCGTTTTCCTGMAAGGTATCGTTTTACTTCGGGTTGTCTGTACAAGGATTTCAATCTTGAATCGGCAGACTTGAAGCTTTTGGCATTGTCACTTATAATTAACGCGGGCGTGCCTCGTCGACTCACGAATCGTCTAAATKYCATTAAAAATTGTTCAACGTTCATGCCCCTCATTATCTCTAAATGAACGGCTCTTGATAGTGTACAGGTGAATATCACGATCCATACTTTGAATGCAGTCTTTTCCTTCAATGTATTTCTAGCAAATAGCGGGCCAGCTAGATCAGTTCCAATGTTCAAGAATGCTGTTTGTCCTTTAACTCGACTTTCAGGTAAGTGTGTCTTCGGTGGGTATTTATATGCGATTGATTCAAATCTTCTACAGGTAGTACAACGTGATAACATCATCTTTATCTTCTGTTTCGCTTTTATCATCCAGTATTTCGATCTGAACTCGTTCAGYGTAGACTTGAGTCCATGATGAAAGACTTTATCATGTGACTGCAAAATAATAAGTGTTGTTAAATGGTGATCTCTTGGCATCAAGATTGGAAACTTGGTTTCAAATCTAAGTTCTGAGTTTCCAATACGTCCTCTACATCGCACGATTCCTTCAGTGTCTTCATAAAGTCCAAGTTGAGTTTGAAGTTGTTCAAAGTTCTTATCTTTCTTTAGAGATCTCTGGACGCATTTTATCCACATRGTTTCAGCTCGTTGGACTTCTGTGCTKTTTAATTCAATGTCATTTTCCTTTCCACGTTGATTYCTTGATTTGAGGTTGTCGACGAATCTGATTACATAAGCAGTTACTCTGAATAATTTGTTCGCTGAGSTGTATGCAGTTGGATCAATAATTCCTTGAAGATTTGGTACTGAGCTCTCACTAGTTGTGTCGATTAACAAGGTAGTCTTTTCTTTCTTTAGCTCTTCTCGATAATCGTCGGATGATAGTAACTTGTCTTCTCGCTTTTGGTTTGGCCAACTCTGCGGCTTAGCAATCCAGTCCGGTCCATTCCACCATAACTCGCTTTCCTTTAGTTSTGTTGCTGGTAATCCACGCGATCCAATGTCGGCTGGATTTGTGGCTGTCGGACAATAGTTCCACATATCAGGTGACGTCAGTTGTAGGATTTCCTTTATGCGATTGCTCACAAACTGTTTGAAGGTTTGATCATTCTTCAGCCATGCGAGTACGATTTGACTATCTGACCAATAGAAGGTATTCAAAGACGCTTGGCTTTGAAGAGCAATTTTGACATTATTCATCAATCTTGTTAATATCAAGGCGGCCATGAGCTCGAGTCTGGGAATGGTTAGTTTCTTCTGAGGTGCTACTCTTGTTTTGCTAGTTACAAATCTGCATCTGTAACTTGWTCCAGACTTAATCAATATATATATCACAGCACAATAGGCTTTCGTCGAAGCATCACAGTGCAGTGTATACTGTTCTACAGTGTCTGTAAGTTCATGGCAGTAAAATCGTGGTATTTCGATGACCTGAGCTCCTCCAATGTCTCAAAATATATTCTTCCAGCGTCTCTGCAATTCTTCATTCATGGGTGTGTCCCAATMGATTTCCAAGGTACAGATGTCTTGTAGTAGAATTTTCAATTGAAGTATAACGGGTGAAATCAATCCCAAGGGATCGAAAAACATCGCACTGAGTTTCAAGAGATTTCGTTTCGTAGGCATCAGTGTTTTACTTGTTTCTACTAGTCGTTCAAAGTCAAGTACTATCGTATCGGTGAGTAGATTCCACTTCACTCCAAGTACTTTGTGATGAGACTCTTTAAGCTCTTGGGGYTCTCCGATCATTTGTTGAGCGTAAGTAGTTTGATCATCGACGACTTTAGTTACATCTGGTTTCTCTCCAGTGTTGTTCAAATCAGTCTCTATAATGTTCATCAACGATGTATTTGAGGTTCGCCATTTCCTCAGATGGAAACCTCCACTTGAAAGACATGYTTTAGCATTTGTGTATGTCTGCACTGCGTCTTCTACAGTGTCACTTCCTGTTACAAGATCGTCCACGTACATATCTTGAATCAATTTGTTAGCTAACGTAGGATCATGGAAGTTGAAGTTTGAGATATGATGATTAAGTGTCGCTTCTAGTAGAAAGGGTGAGCAGTTCAGTCCAAAAACGACTCTACRGAAACGTAAAATCATCAGTTCAGGCCTTTCTGAGTTAACATCTTTGACCCAGAGAAATCTGAGTGCATTACGATCTTCTTCATTGACGTGAATCATGTGGAATGCYTTTTCTATATCGGCAACTAACGGAACTCTATGCCATCTAAAGCGTAACAATATGTCTATAATGTTYGGTAACAAACTTGGGCCACTGTGTAGGCAATCGTTCAAACTTGACGAGTTAGGTTTCTCTTTTGCGCTTGCATCCATCACAACTCTTACTTTCGTTGTCAAAGCTTCTTTTCTGATGACTGCGTGATGACTAAGGTAATGTACTTTGCCTAYTTCAACGTTTTCTAGGTTTGGGTGAACTTCTTCAACGATTCCACTGTCGATTTGATCACGTATCACCTTGTCATATGTCTGTAAAAGTTCATCGTCGTTTCTTAGGCGTTTCAACACGGATGTTAACCTTCCTGCGCTAAGATCAAAGTTGTCTGGTAAAATGTCGTGATGTTCTCTCCATGGCAGTTTAACAACRTAATGTCCATCTTCAAACACAATGTCTCTTTCGAAGGCTTCGTGAACAGGTTCTTTCTCCTTTATTCCTAGTGATTCTAAATCAAAGAGCTGATTTATCTTCGTATCAATGTTTATGTCAGTAGGGGTGCAGACGTTRAGAACATGTGTTGCATTAAGATTGACACTTGACAAGCGGTTCTGKGGAACAGTTACGGGTCCTGAGAGTACCCAACYAAGGTGTGTCTCAATGGCGACAGGGCCTTCGCCGACTCCCTTTCTAACGTCYCCGGTAACCACACGCCAGAGGGTGTCGCTTCCTAACAAGATGTCAACATGCAGCTGTTCACTCACTGTGGTATCTGCAAGTTGKAGGTTCTGAAGATGCGGGTAATGATTCTTTGCCCATTTCACAGCTTGTCCTTGTAGTGGGGAACAAATGAATGGAACTTCTAATGCGTTGATGTCCAACGTAAACTGTGTCTGTAGGCTCTTCACACGTAGAGTAACAAGGTTGCATTGTAGATTTTGGTCGTCGTCGTTTCCAAATGTTTTTATGACAATGTTCTCTGTATTTCTAATGGGTAGTTGTAAACTTTGACTTGCTCTTTTCGTTATGTAGGTACGTTGCGATCCAGGATSAATGACGATACGCAATATCGTTTTTCTATCTTCGCCTTGAGGGTTGCACACTTCTGCCATCGCCGTTTGCAAGARAACACTGTTTTCAGGGACGTTAGATTCTGGATTTATTCCACGAAACGTAGTATTGCTGGTTTGGTTAATAATACCGCGATCTTTAGTTGGAGAGGTGTCTTGCTTACGTAAATCTTCGGTAGATTTAAAGTCATTAACACGTGGTCGTTTTTCACACAWGGCAGCGTGATGATTTCCTTTACAATGAAAACACTTCTTTGATGATTCACAGTTACGTGCCAGATGTKTCGCTCGACGCAAACACAAAAAACACCGTCCTTCCCTTYTTAAAATATTTCTTCTTTCTTGCAAACTTGTGACGACGTGACATTTATCCGAATAATGTTCGCCTTTACAAAACGTACAGCTAACTTGCGTTAAGAGGGCTGATGCCGTGGCGGGAATACTAGAGTTGTCGTCGCGTGTACGTGAAGTGCTAGTGGCGGGAAAATTGGGCTGATTTCGATTAACATGGCGGGCGGGTTGTCTTTGATCTTGTCTGTTTGCGTTTGAAGATAGAGAACATTTCTCACGGGCTTTTAGTTCTTTTTTCAAAATGTCTAATAAATCCTGAATTTTCCACTCATCATTTCCGAGTTTTCGACTGATTATTAGCTTGATGTCTTCGGGTAGTTTTTGGAATATAATGTTAACTAACACTGTTCCATCTGAGGAATATTCAACACCTAGAGCTGYTAGACCTCTACAATGTGTCTCAATCTTGTCGTAAAATCTTCTCAATTCACTCACTGYTTGACTATTGTTCACTGGATCTAATTTAAGAATGTTATCGATATGAGAGTTTACAATGACTTGTTTCTGAGCATACCTTTCTTTTAGCAAGTTGACGRCAATGTCATAATTTGCTTCGGTAAGCGAAATTCCAGCGATTGTCGCGTACGCTGATCCTTCCAACATCGACTTCAAGTAATTAAATTTATCCACTTTATTTAGATCCTTGTTCTCGTGAATAGAAGAGTTAAATGAATCCCAGAATTCTTGCCAGTGATAAGCTTCTCCGTCGAATTTCTTTAATACAAGTTTTGGMAGTTTAGCTTTCGCTCCACGGACCACATTTSCGTTGGCGCCATTATTGTTGTTGTTTGTCGAAGGACTGCTAGTCGACTGTTCTGGGCGCGTAAGAACCTCATCGATCTTGACTAAAACTTCATAAACTGAGTCTGTTAATTTCCCAGCTTCTGCTATTTCAGTTTCAATTTCTCCTTCTTCTTCAACGCACTGAAGTATTTGGTCATCTAACGTCTTGAGTGTTTTAAGTTTATCTTCAAGTGTTATTTTCAATTGCTTCAATTTCAGATATAAATCATGCCGATCAGCGTTGTAGCTTTGTAAACATTCTTCACAGATGTTCAAGGTTGAAGTTAGATGGGCTCTGTGTCCTCCACGTATTTTCTTGGTTTTTGCGAACTGTTCTTTCGATGTCATAGTTCGCCGGTGTTGTTGTTGAGTTCTCAAGGTAATTTATCCAGTTCTATGTCTTCCAGATCCGGCTCGAAGGACCATGTAAAGTTTATTTATTGGTGTACACGTTCTACAATGTTTTGCTAACACAACTACTCCTTTTTTCCGATGTGGTTCTAATTGTTCTAAGGTTCTAAGTGTACATGTTTCGGGTTCTAAATCTGGTTCTCTATGTTCTACATTCTATCGCACGAGGTGCGCCGGTTTCTATGGTGATGTCAGTTCTATATATGGAAATGTAACGAAATCTTACAACTTGGATGGTAATTGCCAGGGAATAACAACACCGTCAAGTAGTAATCGATCCTGAATTTCTGTTGTACAAACACTTGGCTTCAGCAAATTTTCGATCTCCACACAGTCGAGTGCGTCTTTAGTCATAACCATCCTCACAGGATTTTGTTTTTCAGGTTTGTTGGCTGTTCCGGTCTTGTCATAATGATTCAAAACATTTTTAACAAACCAACGACTTGTTCGAAGTTCTTGAGCAACTGCCCTCTGCGAAAAACCGTTATGTCTAAGATCTAGAACTTCCTCTCCTAAAAGTTGAGGATATGAACTTCCATTATGATAGTATTTCCCAAACTGATTTACACAGTACATCGTTATTCAAGACCGCAGTCAGTTATCGTACTAGTATTTGAAATGTATGGTAATTTTATTGTCTGAATCCTCGAACGTAGTCGCACTGTAAAGTTTAAAAACTGCGCAATTACATTCAATAATTTTGTTTATCACTTTGTGAAGTTTTTTTTAATAATTTGAAAATACCACATCCACTGACCACATTAGAACAACTCTGTGGATTATCAACCTAATCAGAGCTTTAATTGACTTTTCTGAAATATTTAGGATAGTATGCGCGCTGTGATTGGTCGAAAACCATGTTTGATTACAGTATCAAAACACGCTCGCGCGCGTCAAAAATTTATTTTATTCTTTTAATTTTAGAAAAGAAATAAAAGACGGAATTCCGTGTTTGATACTCTGATCAAAACACTTGGGATGTAGGGAGAGCACTCGTAAAGCTGGAAATTTTCACTTCCATCTCAAATAAAGTTAATGAACACAAATGAAAAAATGAAATGTAGAAAAGTCAGGGCTGTTATAAGGTATCATACACCAAATAAGACAAAAGAACCCAAACAGTACTTTCATCACCTATTAATGCTCTATTTTCCATGGAGAAATGAAGCTCAACTTAAGGTATCAAGAGGGATTCGTTTCAGACATCTTTTCCAAAAAAACATTTTCTTT